GAACCGGGGACCTAGAGATCTCCACGGTTCAGCGCACACACAGTGGCTACCACCAGATTAGGCGACTGACCTAAGCTGCTCTCCACTTATTGACACCGTGCACTGTACGTCATTGGTAGCTGTGGCCCTAGGTCTGTGTGATGTTCACGCGGTTTAGATTTATCATACAGTAGTTAAATATAATTTTTATTATTTTATTTTCTTTTTAATTTAGATTTTACTCATTAATTAATTAATATGGTAACGTTAGATATTTGTTTTGCTTAATTAATAAGATGCTAAAATCCATATTAATATACCGGTCTCCATATCATTAAAGACTACCTCCAATTAAAGACCACTTTTATGATTTTTTTTTTTGTTATTCTTAATTAGAGACCTTACAAACCCTGTTTAGATCATGTCAGTCATATTTTTAAATAATTATAATTTTTTATTTCATTAAATAATTATATCATTATTTTATTATTATACATAGGCCTGTCACGCCAAAATTGGTCCGGGCCAAAAAATGTCCGGCGGACCAATTTTGGCTGCCAAAACATGGTGTTTCTACCCTTTTAAAATTGTCATTGTCATTGTCATTGTCAATTGGATTATAATCATTGCTTTTGTAATTTATTGCCTATGCAAGGTCAGCTACACTATACTATACCATAGGTATGCCTATGTGATTTATTGACAACTTGCTGGAAAACTAATTAACACTTCAGCTCTCTCTTTTGATATTGAGTTTGATTGTCAGTTAAGATCAGTGCAAAGCGAGGTTCCTCAACCCGTCAGAGCTATTGCTGAAATGGGTATTGAGGTAAAGGGAATGGTAACAGCATGAACGGTCTGCCGGACTACTAAAATCGGTCGTCCGGGTTGATTTTAGCCGCTAAAACCGGTCCCACTTGGATAAAACTGGTCCGCGTCGGCCTGCCACTTCATCTCGTCTGCTGCTCGTGGGTATGATTGTTTCTCCCGTGGAGTGGAGGAAAGTAATTTATGCTTTTCCCACACTTGCAGTGACAGAATGATTCGTTAAGCTTTTGAGGAAGTGTTTTATCAAACACAACCCACTAGATAATGCATTTCCTAGACCTAAGCAATATACACACCGTGCATAATTTTCGGCGGCCATGGTTAGGCCTACGTTTGGGCCTCAAAACACAAGACGGATTTATTGTGTGGGGTATTAGATCATACAATAGATGTTCTAATAAAGGGGTCAGCATTCTTGGAATTACATGCATGTAGGGACTTTGTGGCAGTGTTAAGCACAACCAAAACCAACACGATTTAAGACCACATCGTTTAACTTCTTTTCGTACTTTTACACCAAAAGGGTTTAGTGGGTGCGAAGCTTTACTTCATTTTCACCAGTGATTTCACCTATGATTTCACACATATAATAACGAATGAAGACATATTAGGCTATATAACGAGAGATAAGATATATTTATCTATCATTTGATTACAAAAAAATATGAACAAACGTTATAAAAATAGAAGTTATAACTACTAAATAGACGCCGGACCGATTTTGGCTTAGGTGGATTATATTTGGCAGGTAATTTTAAAGCCTAAATCGGTCCGGCAGACCGTGAGTTATAAAAACACGTTTTTAGTGGGGTAAATATTTCAAGTCTGTGATTTAGGCTAGGCTGACTAAAAAAATCGGCCTGCGGATGTATCATATATTTTTAGTCGAGGTTCGCGTCATTTAGTAGTGCTAGTCGAAGTTTGTTTTAAGAATATGAAATGAAGTTTTAGCTCGAACTACGACTAAAGTTTGTTTTAAGAATATAGTACCGGGGTAAATTCTTCAGAATGCAAGGTTTTCCCCTCTTGAAAACGGGCAGTTAAATTTTTCTCGTTCTTATTACAGTAAATAGGCCTTATGTGTGGGTCATAAAAAAAATTAAGTAATTGCATACATATTCTTATTACATGAATCGATAAATCCCAAAAAGAAAGGGGGGTCCAGGGGTTCTCCATGGGAAAATTTTTAATTCCTAAATAGGGAGAAATGAGCTTTCCCGAATTCTGAGGTGTCTTTTAATGACTTTACAGTTCTTCAAAATTCAAGGTTTTCCCCTTTTAAAAATGATTCCATGAATCGATAAACCCGAGAAACCAGAGAAAGGGGTCCGGGTTACCCCCAGGGAAATCTGTTTCTAGATGCCATGAAATGAGCTTTCCCGTCTTCTGAAATGTCTTCTTGAAAAATGTCAGGTAAATTGTTTTTATTATTATTTTATGTGAGTATACATATGTATACAAAAAATTATGTAGTTGCATATGTACTACGTATTCTTTTTTTTCCATGAATAGATAAATCCCAAAAAGAAAGGTGGGGGGGGGGGTCTCCGCCAGGTAAATTTTCAATTCTTAGATGGCGGGAAATGAGCTTTCCCGACTTCTGAGGTGTCTTTTAATGACTTTTAAGTCCTTCAAAATTCAAGGTTTTCCCCCTCTTGAAAACGATTCCATGAATCAATGAACCCCAAAAAGAAAGGCAGGTTTGGGTTCTCCCTGAGAAAATGTTGATTACTAAATGGTGGGAAATGAGCATTCCGACTCCTGATGTGTCTTTTAATGACTTTAAAGTTCTTCAAAATTCAAAGTTTTCCCCATTGAAAACGGTAAAGAAAATTTTCTCATTCTTATTACAGTAAACAGGCCTATTATGTGTGTACCGGTATAAATGAATCGATGAACCCCAAAAATAAAAGGGTGTCTGGGGTCCTCCCTGAGAAAATGTTGATTCCTAGATGGCGGGAAATGAGTTTTCCCAACTTCTAATTTTGTATTCAAGGTCTTTATTCTTTATTCAGATAAAACTATAAATTACATACATGTTGAACCTTGCGGTACACCACGTAGGTAGTTCTGAAAAGAACTGCTGTAGTTGAGAAAGTCACAACGTTTTGATTGGGTTGCTTCAATCATCTTCAGGAGAATAATATCTGCAGAAATTCCATGCACTCCCACAGTCAACAACACTGTGTACATTGGGACAAAGCCGAACTAATAGAAACTGTATCATGGTGGCACTGCAGAAGGACCAGAGAAGCCATAGAAATTCACAAACACAATACCGTACATCAAGATATCAGATTTGTCATTAGCAATATTTGGCTGTCCATGTTTAATCGGACCTAGCCTAGCAGCCCCACATTTTCCCGCCTTACTGAAACTATGCCTTTCTTTTTGGTTGTTCCCACCCCCCTTTTCCCGCCAACTGGAACTATTTATTTGTTTGGGCGTTCCCACCCTTTCTCTCAGTGAACAATGGCTTATGTTTTAGCCTTTCACTAGCGGTCTACTCATTGGTGAGTTTATTCATCCAACCAGCAACCAGCCTCTCTACCCAAACTAGTATTTCTCTGTTTGAAATTTCTGCAAATACTATTCTCCTCAAGACGACTGAAGCAACTCAATCGAAAGGAGACTTTCTCAAATACAACAGTTCTTTTCATAACTACCTACGTGGTGTACCGCAAGCTTCTACATACACTATATGTTATTACTTCGCCATGCAAACCTTCAAAACAATACTTAAAAGATATAAATTAAAAATTACAAACAGACTGTATATGAGTGTATTACAATAATTGCTTAAAACTTTAAAACTGGACAACAAAATTCAAGAAATTCACAACACAATCATAAAAAAGAAACAATGGATAAAAAGCACAGCACCAAACATAAAACCAATGATAAAATGGAAGAAATAAGAAAGGCATATAAATAACACATTAATTAAAAATTGAATTGAATTTTCTTATTGTAACAAAAACAATCCAGCTCATGGGTCCTGAAAAGGTGGGTCTAGAATTCTTTTTATTTTTCTTCTTTTTTTGCCCAAGCAAAAAAAAAATATACTAGTTTAGCGTCACCACCCCCACCTGCGTTCGTGCATAAGATGTAGGTCAAATTTACCTGAATGAGCTTTTGTCGCAAATAGAGGAAAAGTTTTCATTATGATTTCTAGTGAGTAATGATTGGACCAATTGCATTAGACAGACTCCTACCAAACATGGGGTGTTCACACAGTTTGAGCTTAAAGGTCACAGTGGTTATCTCTTAAAAAATGACTGGGTTCATGTTCTATTGAACATAGTATCTCTAGTTCTTTTTCTTTCTTTTTTGCCCAAGCGAGGAGAGGGGGTGTCAGGACCCCAGATACCCAGATCCGCCAATGTGAATGGCGAGAAAATCTAACTCAGTCGGGGAATGGATAAACACTCTTTCCCCACCCTCTCCTCCTTCTTCCTTCTTTCTTTTCTTGCATTTTTTCCGATCGTACTAAAATAGACATTATATATTTTCTGCCAAAAAGTGTGGTTGGGGGGGGGGGGGAATGACTGTGGATAGTGTGGATTGTACGTACAATGGTATTACATAGTTTCAAGCCAAAAAAATCTTTTTTTAAATTAATTCATTTCTGTTGAATTTATTTCAGTATACACTTGGTTAGATATATTCCATCATTACTCTGAATAATATTTTTTATTTGGCTAAGCTTGCCATCGTCCCATTTGCGTGCCTAGGATTCCTGGGTCTTCATACAGGGACTGCACTATCCTATTTCAGGTAATTTATTTTTTTAAATCCAGCCTACCAATCGACGAACACAGTAGCTTTGCATTAGTTAGGCCCATGTCTAATACAATATTAATATCACATCTACAGTAAACATGTTTTGACATACCCCTCATTAATTTAATATTGTATGTTTTCATGTTTAAACCAAGGTACTGTAAGCACCCACTGGGTACGCCACTTATATGTCAAAACAGTGACCATTTCCAGTGGCGTTTATAGCGCCCCCCCCCTTTGACCCCCAAAAATCATGGTCAAGTAATGAGTTAGCGCCCCTCAACTTATCATCGAGCCCCTTCACTTCACCTTCGCATCCCTTATCAGCACACCCATTTCAAAAATTCTAGGTACGCCACTGACTGCTTGATGGAAATACTGTACATTGACAGCCTGCTTTAGAAACTTACGGTTTTCCTAGCAGAGTGTTTACCAAACTGGTTTTTCCTACACCATGTTTACCAGCAGTCATTACTCGGGCGTGGTTTACTCTGATCTTTCCTGAACTTAACTCCTCTTTGTAGATCTCCAAAGCTTCTTGCCCTCTAGTTAATATTTCTTCTGGAATTATGTCTAAAAATACAGAAAGATACAATTTGTAATACTGTTTAATATCATTTTAATGGAATTTAAAAAAAAATAAAAATGCATTTAAATTAATTTTATCATGAAATGATTATTTAAAATTTCGCTAAAATAGGCCTACTAACCTACTAAACTTTTAACTGAAAAATACATTTTTGTTTTGAACATATTCATTCTAATCAAATTAATTTCATTTATTTTCCTTATTTCTTCAAATCAAACATTAACTATACAAAACTAGGCTTACTATGTCTGTTTGTACAACAGAACATATGGCTTTTCCTCATTACTTTTGAGAAATAAAGTTGCAATTGCAACAAAAAATAAGTTTTTAACAAGTATATAGTAAAAAAAAACATGGAAAACTAATATACTTATAGTATTAAAACAATATGAAGTAAACAAAAAAAAATACAGCGACTTAGTGAAACTCAAACTATTGCTGCAATGGTAATAACGAAATACACCGAGACTCATCCATTTGCGAACTAAATGAGCAGACTTTGTCTAGACCAGTGCATTTTTATTCATAGTGATTCTGTGACTGAAACAAAAAATTTATCATACATATCATGGTAGTTTTGAATTTTTAACCTAGCTGCATCTGGTTAACACTTTAGAAATTGTAAAATATGTGTATATAATTTAATCAACTTAAAAAAAAAAAAAATTACATAGTCCTCAAATCCACACCCTACTGCAGATCGTCGCCAAATTAAAATTCCTTTAGAGGGTACACTGGTAAATTTGAAAAGTCAAATGGCCTCATTAGGCAGACGCATCAAAGACTTATTCTGAATATTCAGTGAACACTTGGCGTGCTAAGCAAAAATAGGCATGGATTTTTTGTTATATTTATATAATATTTCATATAATCTACCATATTTTATATAATATATAATTACCAAGCAGACACATTGAAAACAAATAAGAGAACTAGACATGATTCATACCATATGCATCCCCAACCATGAATGATAGAGAGGAATTTTACTGATGTGAGTTAGCCATACACTTTTGGTACATTTTGTAAAATAAATAAAAAAAAATTGGTAAGGCAGAGAAAAGGAATGCGCCAGGAGACGAGAAACTAGAATTTTTTTTTATTTGGCCTAATATATAATTTTTTATATATTTTATATAATATACAATTTTTTATATAATATATATTTTGTATAATATTTAACTTAATATATAATATATAAAAATTACATATTATATAAAAAATTATATACTATATGAAATATTATATAATATTATAAAATATATAATGTAAAAAACTATGTTCATTTTTGCTAAATGATAAGTGAACAAATGGCACCTCATACATCATAAGCAATATCAATACATTCCAATTATCTTTCAGCAGAATAGAATAACTTTTAAAAAAATGGTCAGGGTGACGGGATAGAAAGTGACATGGGACGAACTTTTTAAAATTACCCAACATTCTATGGTTTCCTTGAAGTTAAAACAATTGAAGTTTATCTGTAAAAATTTAAAAGAATAATTAACATTGCTGATGCCTACATTCATGCCATAGGTATTTGGAACATTTTAAGTAGGTAGGGACATGAAAGGTTTGGAGATACAATGTAGATCTAATCATCAATATAGGTATAGAGCATTATGTACTGTAAAATTGTGTTTTAGGGGATCATTCATACCCCCTGCACATTTTAAACAGAAATGGCTAAATAGTACTAAAGGAAGCTGTTGGCGCATCGGTTGTGACTTGGACTCCCAACCTTGAGGTTGGGGGTTCGGAATTCTCGCTGTGCAAGTTGCTTGTATCCTTGGGCAAGGCACTTTGTTTATGTTTATCTCTCTCTACCCAGGCATATAAATGCATACCCTGTGGTTTCCTTCTGAGAAGAAAAAAGACAGCGTTGAAAGGAACTGGCCACCCTACCACACAATACCGAGGCTTAGTACAATGGGCTAAACAGCTCTTTTCCCTGCGTTCAAAATATGGGACGAATATGGGACTACCTTACTTTATAGTACTAAAGGGCTCTATAAAGGTTGTGGAATTTAATAATTGATATTGGTTTAATATTGTTTTAAATTTATCAAAATTATTTTTTAAGGTGAAATCATAAATTACACTTTTAAAATCATAACATTGTTAAGAATTATGGAAATAGAATTGATGCACTTTTAAAATTAAAATGAGTTTAAAATTAATTTTAATTTGAGAAAATTATCTTTAAAGCTTATAATAAATTACACCTATAAAATCACATAATAGCAAATTGTGATGAAAAACAGATCATAGCCAAGTGTATAAAAATATATAAATTGGTTTCAACTGGTGGCAGGGCCAGAAGTTGACCAATAAAAATGATTCAATATTAATAATTAAGAAATGAGTCTAAAACTTATTTTACCTCAATTTGTACTATTGATTGCCAACTGTATAACAAACTAAATTTAAACCAGAACCCTGCGGGTGCGTACGTTCCTTTGTACTGTATGTAAAAAATCAATGAACATTTGTGAATTGCAATAACTTGATTGTATCTTTTTGAATAATGATTGTGTAAATACAGTATTTTCATTTTGAGTTTTAAAAAAAATCAGAGGCGGATCCAGAAATTTATGAAAGGGGGAGGGAGTAAGGGGTTCTGAGAAGTGCAGGGATGTCGTTATGCAGGGCGGAGGTGGGCGGTGCCGCCCACTCTTGACGTCTTGCGCCCATCCTAAAGCTATTTTTAAGGCCTTCCTGCCCAGCCTCATACGAATTCTCCCCCCACCCCCTTAAAATCATGAAGAAACACAAGTTTTTGCTCCATAAACCATATTTTCAGGTAAATAAGCCGCAAATTTAAGCGCGATTTTCCCCTCGAAATTTGGGGTGTGGCCTATATAATACACCAGTCGTTAACCTACTCCCAAAAAGTTCAGATCACGAACCGCAGCGAAAATCAGGCGCTGTCTGTCTAGCTATAAACCTCTTAATTTCACAAAAGAGTGGGTTCTTTTTCAAACAAATACATCCTGCCTAATATATGTGTGTTTAGATTAGATCTTTTGCTTTAACTTTGGAAACTGAGATCATTTTAGATACTAT